TGCTGTGTCAGGTTCCCTCTGTCTCTTTCAGGCACTACTAAACACTACTTGTTTATTAAATTTCCAACTACCTTCTGTAATAGAAGGTCTTACGTGGAATGGTCATAAGGTTTTTTAATATAATTATTATGCCATGCTGCACTATAGCAGATATATGTCCCAGAACATAGAGAACACCTCACTAGTTGCAGTGGTACTCACCAATTCCGTACTTAAAATCCTTCACCCTAACCTCATTTTCCAGGAAATTACAGCCAGATCAAATGGACTCTTTAAAACAAACAAGTTATTTTTAAACTGATTTGATTCTTTCCTACTAAAAGTTATAGACTTGGTAAAATAGTGTAACAGGAGAATTGATCAAATTTACTGATGGTTCAGGGTCCAATTCCATGCCATTTATGTACTGGGGTAAGCTCTCTGTTTTTAGTGGGCAGCTTCTGAGTATGTAACAGCAACCATGTATAAATTTAAGTACACTTGTTGAACTTACAGCTCTCTATCAGAACTTTGAAATCTTATGATCTTCAGTTTATGATATATAATCATAATTCAGTTACCTTTAGAGTAAAAATGGATTTCTAAGTGTATCTTCGAGTCACTTGGGTTTTTTCATGTTGTATATTAGAAGAGTTTATTTAAGAAGATGATAACTTTAAACCATTTTATTTTCTAATATTGTTGTATAACTTCTGTTTTTAAGCATAGAACAAGAAATACAGAAAGTGTTAAGTATACAAATCAGAGCTAGTTACATAAAATGAAGGTTACTAATACTGCTGAAATAATCCTAACTGTAGATAAAATCCATATATTTAATAACTTCTAAATATCACTACAGAAGTTCGGCCTTTATTTTCTAAATGGTACCAAGATCTGTTGCTGTTACAGCAATGGAGAGGAGGGAAGCAAAAAGTATTCTCTGTGTATTTCTGTAGTTTACAGGGCAGTTTACATAAATTAAAAATGTAAGACAAAATATGATGTCTTTTTCAAAGTAAAGTGTTTATTATACTTCATCAGGTTAAGTATAAAATTGCTGCACAAATAATGTAAGCAAATAACGATTTACCACAATATTTAGCATATTTTCTCTCTTTAATTGTCCTATGACAAAATCAGAGACTTTTTTTTTCCAAATCATTCTCTTATCTTACCGGAAATTTTATCTTTAAGCTTGTTGGATGTCATGGACAAGCATTTAGTTTCATTAATTACTTCTAGAACATACTCTTTTTAAAGATTCTTGTTGTTGTACAATTTATAAAAATAATGGTGTGAACATTACGGTAAAGAACCAGTGGCATTTTAAGATCAGTGTCAAAGATTCTAACACAGGCTAAGTGATAATAATTAAAGACAAGTCCACACAAGAACCAGCAGGGGAGCTGAATCAGCACAGCAGCTGTTGGGAACCACTGGGCAGGGACATCTGACTGAATGATGCTGTGTAAATCACTACACAGCACTGGTTTTGACACATTAATGTTACCATTTAATATACATAATAATCCTCAACATCGCTGCATCAAAGACTGAAGTATTTTTCAGTGGCACAACAGTATGGGAGGAATAATTGTGTAATGCTAATGAAAGTGAAGTAACCAATTTGCAATCATACTTTCCTGTAAACTCACTTTTAATTTTACATTTGTTAAATACAGACATTATATCCAAAAAGCATGTGTCTCCTTCTGCTGGCATGACTGACAAGCCCTAAGCACAATGTGCTTCCAAAACAAACATGACTCAATACCTTTGGGTCGGTAACTCATACAAATCACACAGAATGTTCTGAGTTGGAAGGGACCCACAAGGATTACTGAGTCCAACTCTTAAAGTGAACGGCCCATATGGGGATTGAACCCACAATCTTGGTGTTATGAGCACCATGCTCCAACCAAATGATGAAGAACGTTTCTTGGTAATGCTCCTAAAGTGTGTCTTAGAGAAAGTAGCAATTCACGTGCTGGATAAACATAATCAAATTGGGGCTTAAAAAAAATCTGTATGCTGTGTAATTCTGTGTGCCTTCTTGTAGGATACACACAGTTACTCAAAATAGTTGATTACATTGCTATGCTTAAGCAAATTTGTTATATTAAAAATAAGCACATTTTTCAAATTTACACTCTTACCAGATTGGCAAATCTTTCAGGATGAGCACTGTGATAGCTACTTGTGACACAGAGCACACAAAAGAAAAAAATAACTATGTGATTTGCAGAACTTACAAAAATCCTTTTTTGTTTAATTTCACAATGATGGAACAGGAGATGTGGGTACATTCCCAGTTGGAACAATGTGGAGTTTATTTTCACATAGGCTGGCACAAGGTTCTCAGCAAAAGTTACTAGTTAATATAATGGAGAGTCCCCAGATTCTAAAGTGACTCCTGAAAGTAGTTAGTTATAAACCTGTCAGTAGAGATTCTCTTACCTGTAGTTTGCTACTTAACTAAGGAAATAATTCACTATTTCTCTATCCCTTTCAGAATGTCAGTTTGCTTAAAATAGAAACCATTTAATTCTGAGCAGGATACATTTAGCTTCTAAAGGGCTGAAAATAGGTTGTAAAATGCTGTAAAAATATCAAAGGGGTTAATTAGCAAAGTGAATGGTCAGAAGATTAATAAATGTGACCTCCAAACTTGTGCTGAAAGTGGTGTGCGTGAAAAGTGTGTAATCAGACTACAAGATGAATGTCACTTGTTTAGAGTTAAAAAATAAACAAAAAATAAAGAAAAAATTCCACAATGATTGGATATTTGGTATATAATATATTCAGAAAAAGTATTTAAGTCATGGATGACCTAGTCCCTGACTGACTGAGCCACTTAAAGACTGAGTATATTATAAAAAAAGAGAGCATTAAGTGCTTGTTGACTGGCTACATTTTGAATAACTCATTAGACTAGAATTATTGTTTCATTGTGTCACAGGTTCCTTATCCAGGAAAAGTATATTACTCAGCAATTAACCAAGGTCTTTTAAGGACTGCTGGAGATTAAATAACATACAGCAGAAGAAGGTGTTCAATGATCAACATTTCTAACTCAAAAAAAATCAAAGCCCTCATTTCATTTCTGTTTGAATTGCCTCATTCCAGAGCTAGTCAACAACATTGAATGAGACTGTTAGAAGATCAACGAGCTTGTCTCATTACTGAGGTTACACTTTTTCTGAGACTCATTTTTAATTTTCCTTATTGAATTGATCTTCACTGCTGAAGTCAAAGAACGTATACACTGACTCGGACGTAGTGTTGAGAAATGACTTCTTTCTCCACTGAAATCACTTATGAGAAGAATTACAAAAACTGTTTATCACACACTATTGAAACCCAGATTGAGTAAGAAAGGCTCATAATACTGGAAGCTGTTCACAAGCTTTAGTTTGGCATCAACTTCAGAAACAGTTCTAAAGGTGGAAGGGTTTGGGGAATTTTTTTAAATATAAATTATTCTGTACACATTTAAATAATATATAAATATATAATGTTTTATATCTACATACACACACACACACATGCACAGAGCAGCCTGCTCCACAGGGGAAAATCCAGATTGTTATCTGTATTCCACCTTGAAAAAGCTGTCAAACATGATGTGGTGCAGTTTGTTAGTGAAATTAAGCACTACGGTGCATACTCCCTCTCCTAGGGATAAGCCCACCAGAGGAGAAACCATGGAACAGCCACAGGATGAAAACAAGTGTTACAACAGGATCATTCAAACGAGGAAGGGTTTCTGTCTGCGCTCTGGTATGTGCGCAATGGCTTTTGTTTGCCTGGAGAGAAGATATGCTGAAAAATGCATAAATGCTCCCCTGATCTGATGGCTCATGTGAAAATAAGCAACCTGACTAGCCAGTAGGGCATAGTTTGTAGTTACTGTTATAGTTCATGAAATATGACTAAAAAGAGTCATTTTTAGGGGAAAGAAAAAAGACAGTCGTTTTTTCCAACCCTCTTTTGACCACTTTAGCTACCAAAATCTTTCTTGAAGAAGTAAACCTTGATATACGGCATCTATACAGGTGTCGCATACACACTGACTCTGAACACTTTCTGGGACTTAGTTTTGGAGCATGAGATTCTACCATCATCAAGAGGCAGAAGACATTAACTGGGGATGGGTGGCGGTGTCACGCGATGCAGAAACAGAGTCTGTGCCACCCACTGCGACTGAGGGTTGGAGTTCAGGAGAAATTCACCCTAACAGCCTTTCTCTCTCCCCTAGCCCTGTTCCCCAAAACTCAGGCTCTGAAGTTACATCTTCATTTCACTTTTAACTCTTCTGCCCACTTAGCCCAACTGAGAGAAGGCCACCCGAGCTGCACACAGCAGAACTAGCAGCTGTTGAACTGTGCTCTGTCCAGCATTCCTGTCTCCTCCGTGACACACCAGCTACCTAGAACTGCGCACAAATCAGAGGTTTATGTGTGGGGGGGGTGTGCTCAGAACTCAGGCACAAAGCTGAAGGATGAGCGCGGGGAACAATGAACAGCTGCGGGGCAGCTGGATCAGCAAGTGTCACCGCACGCCTGTGTCCCCACACACTTTGCCACCACACTCGACATCTCCGTGCTTCCAAAAGCAGCATCCCGGTTAAGCCTTGCCTCTGACCCACACATCCGACCGGGGAAGGCGTGAGAACGACACCACCGGTCCGGCTACACACATCGAGGGGACATAATCTCCACGATACATCGGGGCGAAGGAAGCGGCCCGAAACTCGGCGTTCCAGCGCCTGGAAGGGACCTGTCAGCCCGAGGGACACGGCGGCCTCTAGGAAGGCACCCAGCGGTCGGCCCTTCTCCGGGGCTCGGCAGCTTCCAGTGTGGAAGGAGGAGTGCTGCGGGAAGCCAGGCGGGAGGTGGTGCCGTGTCCCGGGATAGCCAGCGGTACCGGGAACGATGACAGTACCGGCCGAGGGGGCGGGACAGGGAAGGGAAGGTTGCCGCGGCGCATGCGCGCTGGTCGCCCGCTCCCACCATTACCTGCGAGCCACCCGGGGCCGTCGCTTTCTTTTTCTTGGCGGGGCCGCCGCCGGTGCCCGGGCTCGCCGGGCGCTTCTTGCTGCGGGAGGCGGCGCCGGCGGGAGAAGCGGCGGCGGGAAGCAGGCTGGCCATGCCGCCCCGCTCGGCTCCGCGGCCGGCAGCGCTCCCCCCTCCCCGGGCGCGGCGGCGGCGCTGCTGGGGCGCATGCGCGCTGGGGGCGGTGCGGCCCCTCCAACCCCGGCAGGTCCCGGCCGGGGCGGGCGAAGCGAGCGGGGTGGTGGTCAGGGCTTGTGAGGAACCGAGCCTGCAGTCACCGCGCCCGGGGCCTCGGGGGGAGCAGCTCGGCCTCCTCCTCGTTGCCCTGCGGTGTCGCGGGCACCTCCTTGGAGGCCTGGCTGTGGCGGCAGGGCCGGCCCCAGGGAGCCTGAGTGCTGTGGGAGGCGATGGTGTGTCGAGCTGTGGGTTTGCTCGCCGTCGAAGGCGAGCGAGGCTGGAAAGGGCGCTAGGTCTGAGTCTGAGCCTTCTGTGCCAAAGAGGCCTTTGCAGGTGTGCAGTAAATAGCTGTGCGAGAGCCGGCTGAATTCAGGCTGTGGTTTTGGAGGTGGGGACCTTGTCACCACACTGTGCTGGGCGGGCAGCTGCTGCTGTAACCTGCCCGAGGTGAGATAAAGCTTATCGAAAAGCCCTCATAACGATGAGAATGTTGTGCGAGTCTCAGGCGTGTCACCCTTTGTTCCAGTTGCTTCAATAAAAGACGCAGAGTGGTTTAATTGCTCCCTTCAGTTCTCAGATGGTGAGCTCTGAGGACCCTAACCAGTAAGTGTTCCTTGTGGTCATCCACACTTAACTGTCTAAACTGTTAAAATTCAAGTTGCAAGTAATTACCGTTGTCATTAAAAAATTCAAGCTATAACTACAGATAGCTGGTACTTTTTGCCTTTCTGGGTAATTCATACTGTTACAGATGTGGTTGTTTCCACACTGTGTTTGCTGTAGTTAGTGTCCTGGTCCAGAGTTTTAAGCTCTTGTTGGAATCTGGAGTAATTTTGCCCTGGAGAAACATACGAGAATAAATTTGAGGGGACTTGGACTGTGCTCCAAAGTGTTTTCACAGCCCTTTTACTGTCTAGGCTGTTTCATGCCGTGCCCCAGAGAACTGGTTGGTGGTGATGTGGGGTTGCACACAGTTCTTAAGCTGCTTGATGACTGAGAAAACTTATGCATATGTGCACCTACATTCAACCTGCTGGTCAGCTTATCGCTGTATTTGTTTGAGCTACTTCTATGCAATGCCTGTCTTCTAGGTTTCTAGCTGCAGCTGTATGAGATCCTGCCCCAGCACATGCCTTGTGGAGAGGCAGAGGTCCAAGAAGTTGATATTCAGGCATAAAAATTAGGTCACATTTATAGACAGTGCTGTAATGAGGACAGAGCTTGGTCACAGTAGGGGTGCCAGGCAGTGCTGTGTAAAACAAAAGCTTTGAAGGTGGCCTGAAAAAGAGTTGAAAACAAAAGCCTGGACTTTTCAGGCTGTGTTCCAGGCACCTGTGTATGTAGCAGAAAAGCAGGACAAGATTTGCTTTCCAGGGGCATAAGCAAGGCCTTGTAAAAGCATCCAAGTCCCATATTCTCCTTCCCAACTGTGGTTGCTGTCTTTCTGTGTGAGCACACAGGCTGCCAGCAGCTTCACAAAGAAAACTGGTAAACTCAATTGCATTTGCCCCTAGTGATTGTTTCAGGCTTGTGTGTGCTATGCAGTGCATGTTGCTTCTCGCTTAAATAGACAGCCTCCCGTCGCATGCTCGCGATGGTGACTTGAGTGTGGAATTAGCAGGGGTACTGGGAATTGCAGGGGAGTTGTGTCCCTTGACAAAGGCAGATCTGCTTTGCTGTCTGCTCAAAGTGTTGATCTTGTCTTAGTCAGCCTTTTCTCGTTCCCAGGGCTGGGGCCCATCTCTTTCCTCTGCACATGCTGTGTGCTCAGCTCCCAGGCATAACCAATTAAATAGGAAGCTTACCTTATCACAGGGATGTTTTTACTGAGAGGAACGTCTCTAATGAAAGTGCATCATGCAGAGAATTAATGTGCTGCATCAGTGGAAGTTTTTAAACAGCACTTAGCCAGGCATTTTCTTACCTTTGCCCACTTTTATCAGTTGTTTTACTAAAAATCAAATGGGCCACGTGTATTACAGCAATATTAAGTACAATGGAATTTTACACTGTACCAAATGCTTTACAGAATCACAGAATGGGTCCAGTTTGAAGGGACCACAGTGGGTCATCTGGTGCAACCTCCTCCCTGCTGAAGCAGGGTCATCCTAGAGCACATGGCACAGGATTGTGTCCAGGTTGTTCTAGATATCTCCAGTGAGGGAGATTCCACAACATCTCTGGGCAACCTGTTCAGAGTCACCTGCATAGTAAAGAAGTTTTTCCTCATATTCAGGTGGAATTTTCTGTGCCTCAGTTTCTGCCTGTTGTCTCTTGTCCTGTTGCTTGGCACCACTGAGAAGAGCCTGGATTCGTCCTCTTGGCACCCTCCTTTCAAATACTTACAGACACTGATGAGGTCCCCTCTTGATTGTCTCTTCTCAAGGCTGAACAGGCCCAGCTCCCTCAGCCTTTCCTCATAAGGGGGGCACTCCAGTCCCTTAATCATCTTCATAGCCCTCTGCTGGACCTGCTCCAGGAGTTCCCTCTCTCTCTTGTCCTGAGCAGCCCAGAACTAGACACAGCACTCCAGATGTGGCCTCAGTAGGGCAGAGCAGAGGGGCAGGATCACCTCCCTCGACCTGCTGGCAATGCTCTTGCTAAGGCACCCCAGGATACCATTGGCCTTCTTGGCCCCCAGGGCACATAGCTGGCTCATGGACAGCTTGTTGTCCACCAGGACCCCCAGAGGTCAGCCCCCAGCCTGTACTGCCTGGGGTTATTCTTCCCCAGGTGCAGGACCCTGCACTTGCCTTTGTTGTATTTCCGAAGTTTCCTCTCTGCCCACCTCTCCAGCTTGTAGAGGTCCTTCTGAAGCAGTACAGAGCACCCTGGGGTATCAGCCACTCCTCCCAGCTTTGTGTCAACAGTGAACTTGCTGAGAAAGGATCTGCCCCTTCATCCAAGTCATTGATCAAGAAGTTAAACAATTCTCGGCCCAGTGTTGGATCTTGGTGGGCACCACTAATGGCAGGTCTCCTTCTAGACCCTGTGCCACTGATTATGACCCTCTGGGATCTGCTGTTCAGCCAGTTCTCAATCCACCTCACAATCCCAAAAGACCCATAACTCACTGAGAAATAGCAGCAACAGCAATGGAAATGGTAAGAGTGTCTGCAGGGAACGAGTAGGAGAATTGCGGATGGGAGAAGGGCTGTGGAGTTGCATGGTTCCTTCTCCCCACTCCTTGATTGGCTGTCCATAACCCGCCCTGAAAATTATGAGATGTTTTTCTGCTGCACAAGTGCCATGTGTATCTTGCTGGGTCCCTGTTACGTGCTTACATAGGCCGTTGCTTTTTGATAGAGACAAGGGCTCCCCTGAAGAAGTGCAAATTGCTATTGCTAGTCTGGCTGGGTGTGACATAGCTCTTCCTGCTGTTCATTTTGAACCTGGCTTGAGCTGAACACCTTTTCCCTTTCTAGTGTGCAAGGTCTGGTTTTTTATATCTTTCTAATAAGAAAATGAAAAGCAGCTCAGCAGCAACTCTGCACGCTCTTTGACATGAGCAGTCACCCACCTGTAATAGTCTCAGAGAGCTGGAAAGGCTCCTGTTAGCATTTTTTCAATAATATGTGGAGGAAAATGCAGGAATCTCCTGAATTAGGGAAGATCTCAGAGTCCTATCCAGGTTTTTGAAGCTGGCTTGGGTTTTTTGTTTGTTGTTGTTTGTTCTTTTCACCCTTTGGCTGGGTGAAAATTGGCCATGATAGTTTTCTCATTGTGCAGAGGGAGTTACTCCAGTGTGAAGCTTATTGAGGCATATGAAGGGTGGTGAGTGCCTCATAATTAGGATAATTTAAGTCCTAATGTTTTTACTGCAGGAAAAAAGTGATGAGAGGAAAACAAAATGTTTGGAAAACAAGCAGAAGGATCTTTAGCATGAGTTGGAATAAGCAGAGTGGAGGGAGCAGGGCCCCCAGCAGGCATGTGAGGCCCCTGTGCAGGCTGTGGCCATGGGCTGCAGGGGTCATGGGAGGGCTCTGCCACACAAAGGGCTCTGCTGTGGACTCTAAGGTGTGACATCAGCCACCGGGACAGCAAGGACTGACCTGGAATGGAGGAGCATGGCCTACCACTGGGAATGTCAATAATGAGTGTCTGGAGGTGCAAGGGCAGCTGATGGAGAAGATCCATAGGAAGAAAGGGCTGGGGTAGCATACTCTTGGATGGAGCTGCTCCCTGCCCCAGCCCCAGGTGCAGCTTCCTAGTAAGAGAGCTCTGCCAGTTCTCTTCCTGTTGGGAGCAGACCCAGTGGAGTAGCTGGGTGTGGTAGGGTGCTTTCTGGCTGACACATTCAAGCTACCTGGAAGTAAAAATCCTGGATGCTTTCAAACCAAATGCATGGGTGCTCTTCAGCTCCATTCAAAAGGAAAAGGCTGGTCTCAAAACTGAATTTATTCTGTTCCCGGCTTTGTTCTTGGGTCTCTCTCAGGACCTAGTTCACATCCTATCTGGCTGTTTAGCTTTCAATATTCCTACTATTCATACTTCTGTACCATGAGAAAAACAGGTGGGTTAAAAATTATATTGTCCGTAGCTTCGCTTGTTGGCCATGTTGCAGTTTGTAAGATTATCAGGTAGCTAAAATGGTGTGAGAGAATATGCATAATCCCTCTGTATATCACTGAATTAGAGTGAAGGTTTTACAATTCTTACATAACTTCTTTGGTTTTGGGGTTTTTATGTGTGTTTTTGTTTGGTGTTTGTTTGTTTGTGTTTGGTTTTTGTTGTGTTTTTTTTTACATGTCTACAAAGCGGGGATAACTTTACTTGTAGCTAGGTTGAAATAAAGATAAGAAGTTGTGGCAGTTGAGAAGTAGCTGCTAGTGATTATTACATAGTGATTTGTACTATTACAATTTTCAGGCAACCAGTATCCAACAGTTTCAGACAACTCTGTTAATCTGGCCATCTCTAGCAGTGTTGCACAGGTGCAATTTGTGCGATAA